AGTTGCCAGCTCCCAATCCTCTCCTTTTCCCCAGCCACGGGACATTATTCAGATCAATGGAATGTTACAATAGGTGGCCTTTTTTGACTGAGTTCCTTCATTTGTCACAATGTTCTCAAGGATTAGCCATGTTGCTGCTTGTGTCAGTCTTCCACCCATTGATTGTATTGCTGAAAAATATTCCATCCATTCAATATGGCAGATTGATTTACCCGTCCACCAGCTGGTCGACCCAGAGGTCGTTTATTCTCTATGGCTATTTGTAATTATGCTGCTGTGCACGTTAGTGTACAAGAGGCTTTCTCCTGGGTATTTATTGAAGAGTGAGATTTCTGAGTCAAATGGTATTTCTCTACAGTTAACTTTTTCTAGAAACACTGGGCTGTTCTCAAAGTGGTCATAGTATTTATAACGACCAGTAGTGAATGAGGGCTCCAATTGTCTATATCTTGAGTAGTAGTTACTATCTTTCTTCTGTTAATTAAAGCCACTGGTGTGAAGTGCCACTTCAGTCTGTGTGTGTGCGCACGCACACTATTGTCTACTGGATTCAGGGCCTTAGTTTAACTTCTTTAATCTTTTATTTATTTGGTACAGGGTCTCACTACGCAGTTTGGACTCGGAGTGATCCTCCTGACTCAGCCTCCCCAGCTCTGGGATTACAGGCGTGCGCCACCATGCTTGGCCTCATTATTGTTCTTGAGTTCCCAAAGCAATTTCTGAGTTGAATGTGTAAATGTGCAATGTTTTCTTAGTTAACACTATCCATCATGCTACCTATACCAGTCCTGCATAGCAGAAGATGACAGTTATCACAGCTGTTCTTACAAATGTTCAGACGCCCAGCAGTCTCTCGGCTCCTTTTCGCAATAAACAATCACAGTGGACGCTTCGGTGTTCCCCGTTTCCTTTACCTGACTCCCACTTCCAATTTTACCTTTTTGCTCTACAAGAGGAGACAAATACATCAAAGTATTTGAAAAGCACATTAAGCCCCAGATTTTATCCAAGTATGTGAGGGTCTAATAGTAGTAGATATTTTGGGGGCTTTAGGAATTTGACTTCTTAACTCTCCTCCATACACTCAATTTCTGCTTATTTTGTTTTGTATACTGACTGTAAATATACACTAACAAATTAATAAAATTAATAAAAGTTGAATCCAAATCCTTATTAACATCGCCCAGGTGCTCCCTGTGATTTTATGTAAACATTTTTGTACATACACATGTTTTTATTTTCTGATTTTTAACACACTCTTGTCTCAGAAACACGAGGAAATAACCTTGTGTATCCCGTATTGCGTAACAGATCGCTGACGCTGAATCACAGCGGGGAAGGGAGTAAAGAGGGGCTGATGCAGAAGACCAGGAGCCTTCTCTATCCTGATCGAGGGGCGCTCCTGGGGTGCTCCTAGTGGTCCTGGGATGCTAGCAGTTGCATCTTACAAGATTCCGGGGTGGCAATGCGGAAGTCAGTGACAGCTGAGCTGGAGCAGAAGAGGACAGGGCTGCAGCAACCTGCACGGAGGAGCAGGGGAGGAAAGGAGAGCCCCAGCCTGGTTTGCTCTGCTGGTAGAAGGCCGTTATGATACCGGGCTAGACAGAAGTTCTCTTTTGGACGAGCTGGTACCGAGGTGCCACGGATGTCGGGGTGCGGTTGTGGTGGTTGGGGGGGTCTGCAGGTGTGGATCGGGGTCCTCGGGTGCAGGACCCTGGGGGAGAGCTCGAGGCAGCGGCCTAGAGCTCCGGACAGCAATTTTCTGGGCAACAAGAGGTTGTGTTCCAGGGGCATCTGAGGTGCTCCGGGTCACCAAGCGTCTTTGGAGCCAGCCAGCTTGTCATCAGCATCAGGACCTTACGCACCTGCTTGCACCTGTTTTTGCATTTGCAAACTAAGCACAGTCACAGTATCTGCCTCGAAGAAAAGTGCTCGCTGTTTTCAGTGTCGTTAAGGAGCCGTGGCTAAAGCGGCACCCAGGAAGAAGAGGCCGCCCTGTGGAAGTGACTCACGTCCCGGCCTTCTAAGCTGCCGGGCTTCCCGGGTCCTAATCCCTCCGCGGCCTGTAATTCCCAGCACGGCCACCAGGCGGGGCGCGCGCCGAGGCGGGCGGCGGTCACGACCCGGAAGCGCTTCCCTCGGTGGCTGCTCGGTGGAGATGGCGGCGGCGGGGGCCCGGGGTCCCGGCAGGCCGCGTAGCGCTGCACGGTGCACGCCGCGCGCCTCCCGAAGCCCGCCTCCGGCTGGAAGCTGCTCTCTCGCCTCTGGCCGCCGGCGTAGTACCCGGGCGAGTGGTCGCTGGGTAGGTAATCGCCCTGTGAATATTCCTCGCACGGAGGGAACTTGGGATCGACATAGTTTGAGTTGATCAAAAAAGAACTCATAGCCATTAATTTCTGGGAATTGCCCACAAAATATACTAAAATTTATTCCGACCCCTGACTCGTTTTCCTGTTCCGAAAGCCCTCCTACTTACTGTCAAGTGAACAAAGTTAGGGGCCACGTGATCCTCCGAGCCAATAGCCACCCCGCCTGCGATTCCCGGATAAGGAAATCTGCTCACCCGGACCCTACTCCAGCCAAAGAGCTTTATTTCCCCTTCTTCGCTTCCCCCTCCCCACCCAGTCAACACCAGGATTTACATAGGGCTCCTGCGGGGCGACCCCCTCCTCGCTGCGCTCTCAGAGATCCGAGAGGCGCTGAGGGCAGAGAGCGCCAGGGCGAGCAAGCGTGGACCCAAGGCCTGCTGGAGCGCTGGGCGGAGCATGATCCCACATTCCCTTGAAGTTGGGGTTCCCGATGTAGCCCCTGTTGTCCTGCCTCACCTCTGCCTGGCATTCTGCGCTTCCCAAAGGGCTCCTGCTCCTCCCCAGGGCGAGAGGAAGCCCCGTACGCCCAGCGGCGTCCCTGTGGGGAGCTCAGTGGCTGGCGGGCTGGGGGCTCCTCCTCGAAATGGGGAGCTCACTAGGGGCGAGGGGCGCTGAGCTTGGGGCTTTTCTCTGCAGCCCGATGAGGAGGGGTAGGGGTGAGCGAGGAGGCGTGGGGAGCCGGAGGGCGGGTGCGCAGAGGGACTTGTCAGAGATGAATGGAACCGCTAGCGGATCGATAGGAAATGCATGCACTAATTCGGGGAGACCTCGCCTTCCAAATCGCATTTAGCTGCACTGTTAGCTTGGCTATCTCAGTCGACCCGTCTGTCCCCCTGCT